CAATAAGTGATTTATAGAACTTTCTTTTTGCCAGACATTTTATTTATCTACATGGGACATCTGAAGTAAATCTTGTAGGTTTACTTTAGACGTACCCAAAAGACACACAGTTGCTATCCTGTGAAAGCAAACTTAAGAAAATCATCCACTTGCTCATTTCTACTAGAAAATCAAACATCTTTCTCTCCAGGAATATTTCAACTCCTCCTGGGAGAAGGTGTTCTCAGACCAAAAAGAATGAGTCTCCAGAGAGAGATGACTGGGGTCCATCTTCGTCTGATGCATCAAAGCAACTTGTAGAGTTAGCATGTCCTCCTCGTGTATGTATATATCTAAAAAAATTAAAATATCCCCATCTCACCATCCACGGGTGGTCTCATACTTCCAAGCTTGGGTCCTCTACTAAGAGGCCTGGGAGCTTGAGGGTTCTGCGCAGTATCTTAGCTGCTCCTAGAACTGTACTTTCCTGGACTGAGATCTCTGATGGTTTTCCTGGGATCTGCTTCAGCCACTCCTCCGACTGCCCCGATGACCACGGGCACCACCGATGTCTTCACTCTCCAGGCTTTCTGAAGTTCTTCTTTGAGGCTGTAGTACTTCTCTAGTTTCTCGTGTTTCTTTTTCCTGATGTTGCATCACTTGGTATCACCACATCAACCACAATAGCTGTCCTCCGTTGTTTGTCCACTTTTGGGCCATTCCCATCTGTACCAGGTTGGCCCGGGCCGGGTAGCGTAGGTTGTTTACATATCTGGGTGGCCTGGTATTTTTCCGGGCCAACCAAGGCTCATTCTCAGCCCTCTTCTCGAGGGGGTCTGCTTCAGGCCGACCAGGCCCAACACACCCACTGGTGACAGCAAATTCACACCTTCCATTAGAGCAAGCCTCTGATTGGTGGGTAGAATCAGCCCACACGGGCTTAAGGCAAGGATGTGTGGAATCAACCGGGCCAGGCTGGGGCCGACTGGGGCTACCCGGCCCGGGCCAACCCGGTACAGATGGGAATGGCCCATACCACAATGTCCGGTTTGTTCGCCATCACTATTTTGTCAGTCTGGATTTGAAAGTCCAACAGGAGCTTGGCTTTCTCATTCTCAACCACCTTAGGGGGTGTTACCCACTTTGACCTTGGAGCTTCCAGTCCATACTCCGCACACATGTTCCTGTACACGATGCCAGCCACTTGGGTGTGGAGTTCAATTCAGTTTATTTTTATAACGCCAAATAACGACAAGAGACATTTCAAGGCACTTCACAAAGCAAACATTCCAATACAGTTCAGGGGTCTCATTTATCAAACATGGTGCAGAATCCTTACTAAACCCGTCCTTAAGCTCAGCAAAAAAAATGTTCTTACGCCAAGTAAGTTTGTGACCTATAAAACATGGAGTACGCACAGCTTCACGCAATCTCCGCTTTATGAATTACAAACTACCTAGAAATGTTCTCGGGTGTTTCTGAATCCCACCCCGCCCTCAACACGCCCACTTTCTGCCATACATGGTCAATGCAAAGTGGCTTGTGGATCTCATGTATATACATAAGCCAGCTCATTGCAGCGCACCACCATTAACGATGGCGACTGCAGATCAAGGAAGCGCTATTTCACCTAAGCAGAAATTGAGGTACATGTGGGTGAGGCGGAGAAATGAAAGGAAGTGCTTTTGTAAAACAAATAAGAGAAAATCTACGAAGTGGCACAGCATTGCTGAAGCCGTCATTGCTGGGTTCTTCAGAGAGATCTGTGGTGGATATTTTAAAAAATGGTCTCATCTTGTTGGTCAAATCTCGTTGTTTAACCCCCAGTGACTCTGGATGAAGCTTCCAACGAGGCATCCCCAGGCGGCGACCAAAGATGTGGCTGCAGGGTCAGCCTGTCTCACCAGTGCGCCTCGGACGCATGGAGCACCTGGAAGTGGCCGGGTGCTAACTGATGCTGTCCTGCAGGCACAGAAGGACATGATTAGTGTGGTGAACGAAGTGCGAGAAGAACTGCGCAGAATGTGTGATGTCCTGACTGAAATTTCAGGAACACTTAAAGAATTGACAAGAAAATAAAAGATGAAAATCATGCCTTCTGTGTTGGTTCTATAAATGACATGTGGTAGGGCGGAGAGACGAGGGCCTGGGCGGGATCCGATCCCCAAACTCCCGGGTGAGGGTCATGCATGCTAACCAGTCAGCCAAAGGGACATCTTCTTCGGCCAAGTAGCCAGGGCGCATGATCAGTCGGGTCAAAGTGATAGGACGCTCACACTGTCACAGGCGCATGACATTCTGTCTCATTTTGTATTCTGCGCTTCAGGCTGTGTGTGTGTGTGTGTGTGTGTGTGTGTGTGTGTGTGTGTGTGTGTGTGTGTGTGTGTGTGTGTGTGTGTGTGTGTGATATCAATTTTAGCCTTGTTTATTTAGTCTTTATTTAACCAGGAAGGTCCCATTGAGATTAAAAACCTCATGTTCACGGGAGTGCTGGTCAAGAGGCTGAAAACATGACAGTTACATTAGTTTTAGCTACACAGACATGTTATTTACTAAATTACAGAAGGCAGTTACAACGCAGGGAATCTGTCTCAAGGGCTCTCAGTCTGGTTTTAAATTGTCCTTATATGTAACTACATCCTTATGAGCTGTCTTTAGTGAGCACAAAGACAACTTTGTTGTACACCTGTGCAATGAAACAATCTTTTATCTAGAATTTCTGAAAATATCAGAAATGTAAATAACAGGTTCATTCCATTAGGTATTTTATTCGTTTTTATTTACTTTTACATATAATCAGAAAATTTAAATATGATGTAAGTCATTTTACATTCCTAACAAATAAAAAACACACTTTGAAAAATCCCCCCGTGGCTTTTGGCTTGGGTCTGGGTGCCCCCTAGTGGTGAATACATGCAACTGATACAAGTCTGATCACATCAGTCCGCGTTTTATTATTGTTTATTTAATAGGGACGGATCGTGTCTTCATTTTATTAATACCAATGCAAGTAGCAGTAATAAAATCATGTTTAACATGAGGTAATGCAACAATCAGTACAATATATGAGGTCATTTTGGTGAATTTAAGCATAGCAACATCTCTCCCTTCAGGAAACCAGGAAATAGCATCTAGGATTACATAGTATGGTCTGTATTTTCTCATCGTGGATTGGGCGATCAAAGTTTAAAATGAGTGGCTGAGAAGACCTTTGGGAGTGGCCTGCAAAACGCCGTACACCTGTCCTGAGCACGCGCTAGAAGTGCCTGCAGTTCGGCGTTCAATTATTAGAATAAAACGTCGTTTTTTTTTACTGCGCTCTGAAAGACTAGTTGAAGACGGCGTGCAACATGGCGTTCAGACGGGTTTTCCGCCGCTTTTTTCGGCGTTTTAAGTATAAAGACGGCGATTAAGACGCCGTTAAATGTCCTACGTGTTAAAAAGTGGGCGATTAGTGATTCGACCGGCAGTTCCGAATGTTTCTCGTTTGTTTTCACTCATCAGCCACAGATCGCTGCTCTCGCTCACAGCAGCTGGGCTTCCTACCGTGGTGACTCACTCACATGTTCCCTCTCCTACATTAGTTGGTGACGCGGTGAATTAAAACATTAGGAATCCTAGTATTTTAATTCACCGCTTCACCTGTTTGTGAGACAACCCTCCTCTATAACCAGGTTACTTGCACGGAAGCCTGGAAAGGCCAAAATTCCTCAAACATTTTTTTCCCCATCCTGGCTGATATGAATTAATAGAATAGAATAGAGTAGATTGTATTAGTCACACAGTGGGGACATTACACAGCAGCACACACACTTACAGACACAGATTACAGTAAAACTGATTCCAGCCATGTTTGCTTTGATAACTTCATGCTAATGAACACATGAACATAATCCTCTGTTTAGTGGACGCAATTACATCATGAAGTTATCTTAACATGATATTTTTTCTTGGCAGGAAATAATAACTGGTAATATTATGAATGGCATGATATTGCTCACCCCTAGATGGAATTTTAATACATTTACATTAATTATAATTAAAAGTTCCATGTGTGGCATGTAGCTGTAATGCTTTACTGCAGATAGATAGATAGATAGATAGATAGATAGATAGATAGATAGATAGATAGATAGATAGATAGATAGATAGATAGATAGATAGATAGATGGATGGATGGATGGATGGATGGATGGATGGATGGATGGATGGATGGATGGATGGATGGATGGATGGATGGATGGATGGATGGATAGATAGATAGATAGATAGATAGATAGATAGATAGATAGATAGATAGATAGATAGATAGATAGATAGATAGATAGATAGATAGATAGATAGATAGATAGATAGATAGATAGATAGATAGATAGATAGATAGATAGATAGATAGATAGATAGATAGATAGATAGATAGACGGACGGACGGACAGACAGATGATAGGTGAAGAAGTTCAGGAGAGTTGGGTGTTAAATTTTCCTCACGAAAATATTTTTTTTAAACAAAGGTCAGTTCCCTCTGTAAAGTCAGAGGTACGGAAGAGGATTAGGGCCCCTGAAAAGAAAAAAAAAGAAAAAGATTTCTGACTTTTTCCCCAGAATTCCCTGATTAAAAGTCAGAATTCTGATTTTTTTAAAAGTAAGAATTCTCTTGCTTTTCTTGTCAGTGGCTCCAATCATCTTCCGTACGGAGTTGAATTAAATCAATTAAATGTAGAGCACAAAAGCCTCAATATTAATAATCCTCCCCCCCCCCCCCCCCCCCGCACTCTAAAACAGTCGGCGAATTGTCCACTCCCGACCCCATGACCCCGTCTCACTCTTTGAAATGTTCAAAAGTTGGCAGCCCTTCTATAATTGATACCGTTTTTTCCCTACACACTGTGCGTGATGCGCGTTTGGGGAGCACAGGCGCTGGTTAGCGTGAGAGATTGGAGGTGTGGCGTGAGAGCGTGTGAAGAGGGTCAAATGCGTGTGTCTCACGCTCAGTGCGTGTCAGTTGGCAGCTTTGAACTGTTTTTTTTTTTTCTGAAAAAAATTTCAAGAGAAATTAGGAACTGTCTAAAATCTGACCTCCTTTGCCACGGACTTTGAAATGTAACGGACTGGCTTCCGGCGAGTAATAGTCACGTGCTTCCGCAAATTTCATCGTCTGCGCTACAAACATTAAAAACTACCTATTTCATGTCTGTGGTCTGTACCTGGATATTTTAGCTCTTGTGTCCTGCTTTTCGCTCCAGAGCAACCGGAACTACTAATCAGTAGCTGGTAGCTGCGTGCTGGTTTATTTGTTCCTGTTTGTTTTCGCCACATTCCCGCGTTAAGCTAAGCGCTCGGTGCTAAGCTACTTCTCTGTTCTCCACGGATACGTTCCTGCGGTTCAATGAGTTACTCCGACTACGACTCAGACGGATACGTGTCAAATGAAGATGCGGACTACATCCCTTCAGGTGAGAGCTCGTGTTGTGCTCGGGATAAAAGCTAAAGAAGTGCTTGGTAAATCGGAGACTAGCATGCTGACAGGATTATGACTGTCTTGGTAATAACAACAACAAGGAAGCAGTTTATTCACAGATTTGACTTCCAGAGTGTCCTTAGTGAGACCCAGGTATCCGTGGTCACATCAGACGAAGTGTTGTAAGCCTGTGTCTCGTGGCTTTGCTTCATTATTGCCTCCTGCGCCGTTTTCTAGATGATAACCTCAGCGAGGATGATATTAACGAATGTGAAAAAGAAGAAGCTCTGCATGAAGATGAAAGCGTACCATATCCTGACAGGAAAGGCAAGAAAAAGGGCATAAAGTAAGGGGCTCCACGTGTACGTCATCCACAGAATTTGCAGGAAGTGATGAAATAATTAAAAAAAAAACTCATAACTTCACAGAAGTAGGAGGAACAGAGCACAGAGGTTAAACGAAGAGGAGACGGTCGGAAGTGGGGCTGAAAAGGCGCGGCTAGCCCCACACGCCGGTGGTGATGAAGAAACACAGAAGAAAAAATCTGATGACCTTTGGGCCAGTTTCCTGTCTGATGTTGGAACCAGACCCAAAGACTCGGCACCTTCTGCTGAGTCTGGAACCAACAAGGAGGTAACCCGAGACAGAACAGTGTTTCCATGTGTCTGGGTAGTAAAAAGGGCTGGTGCTTCTCTGCTAAAGACAACCAGCCATGTGCCAGCATATAAAAACTCTGATCTGTTCTTTTATCTGTGTTTTTAGATGCATTCTTCAGTGTTGCAGACTCCTCCTAAGAATACAGACACAAAAGCTGCAGGACCAGAGAAAATCACCATCACTAAAGTGTTTGACTTTGCTGGAGAAGAAGTCAGGTCTGCTTTACCATCACTAACTCCAAGATAACACTTTAGAGGCTTTCAACCCCATCTTTATGTTGTTGTTTTTTTAAATGTTTAAGTGCTTTTTCATCTCAGTTCAGTATAAACCTGTGAGAGACACAAAGGGGAGTGCTTTATTCTTATTGGCTGAACAGTTTGTAGCCGGAACACTTGCCGTGTTCAGCTGCACCTGCAGTGAGCAGGGTCAGAACCGGCAGAGACACAGACAGGACCAGCACATGCACCCCCATTTCAACTAGAATGTGTATTATATTGTGTGAACACACACACATGTGGATTTTAACAGTGTTGGTGTCTCTTCTTGAGGGTGCATAAAGAGGTATCAGCAGACTCCAAGGAAGCCAGGAGTTTTCTGAAGAGCCAGAACAGTCAACAGGACGAGACCAAGAATGGCGAGAACTCGTCCCTCTGTCCCCCGTCTCTTCCTGGTCCCAGGTAAAACCCGGGTGTGTAGAAAAGTAAAAGATGTCTGACTCGGTGGTGATGAATCCCAAAATGGATGTTAGTGAAATTAGAGTGAACAGATGAGCTCGGTGGCTTTATTGGGACTTTTACTGTTGAGTAGATTTAAACAAACCTGGGCAGTACCAGTCAGGTCCAATTCTGTTCTTCTGATCTCCACTTGCAGCTGCAGCGCTAAACGTTCTGCTGGCATGTCGAGCATCCTGGGTCGTATTGGAGGAAAGAAGCAGAAAATGAGCACTTTGGAAAAATCAAAGATGGACTGGGATGCTTTTAAATATGAAGAGGGCATCACAGATGAGCTGGCGATCCACAACAGAGGCAAAGAGGGGTGAGATACTGTTCTGTCTGCTCCTGGTTAGCATCAAAAACAGTACAGCTCCCCCACCCTCCCCTGTGTGTCCTGGGTCGACCCCAGGGTCTTCTGTTGAACCACATGCCCAGATCAGCTTGTGTAATCTTATCAGGTTAGTTACTGGTTACTGTTTGTGACTAACGGTCTGTGTGTGTGTGTGTTTGGGGGGTCAGGTACGTGGAGCGGAAGAACTTCCTGGAGCGTGTTGACCATCGTCAGTTTGAGCGGGAAAAGGCAGTGAGGCTGAGCAACATGAAGCGATGACGCTGATCAAAGAAGGACTCACAAACTCACGTACAGCTGGAGGCTGCAGCGGTACGGTTGGTGTTCGTCAGAACTCCAGCTGGACCTGGGGCTTTGATCCGGAGCTCAGCGGTTCGGTGAGATGAGTTGGCACCCAGCGACTGGAATAACTCAGCACCCTCTCCTTGTGACCTGTTCCATTCAGCTGCTGTGTCTGGGTTAGGGTCACAGCCTTCGTCCCACTGTTCCACCCCGTTACCATGTTGTACGTGTGCAGTTAAACTCGTCCATGTTTGGGTTGTTTTTATTCTGTCATCATGCAGGGAAGCTTACGCTGAAGTCCCAGCAGCTGCTGGTGAGAACTTCTAAACGAGGGAGTTTCCTAAGTGTTTACGGGGTTCTAGGTTCCCTTGTGCCAGTCACACGGTTCCCTTGTGTGGATAGAGTTTAGAACGTTTTATTTAGAAAGTGTTTTGTGATATTTTCTCACCAAATCCTAACCCTAACCCTATCCCCAGCAGAGCAGCAGTTGAAACCGTCTCACATCTGTGGACACAGGAAGCGTGAGAAAGGGTCGGGCTGTGGATTTTGGTTCCCTGGTGCCTCTTTTTGCTACTTTTGGTGTTTTTAATTTAATACATGCTTAAATTACTTCATTGAATAATGATGGAGTCACAAATGTGCTGCGTCCTTCAGAATGTTCCAGATTCAGAAAAAACCTGGCCTCTTATTTGTTTCTATTAAATGATTCAAACATGCTGATAGACTCCATCCATCCATTTTTCTTCCGCTTATCTGGAGTCGAGTCGCGGGGGCCGCAGCCTACGTCGAGAGGCCCAGACTTCCCTCTCCCCAGCCACTTGGGCCAGCTCTTCCGGGGAATCCCAAGGCGTTCCCTGGTCAGGTGAGAGACATAGTCCCTCCAGCATGCCCTGGGTCTACCTTTAGGTCTCCTCCCGGTTGGACGTTCCTGGAAAACCTCACCAGGGAGGCGTCCAGGAGGCATCCTGACCAGATGCCTGAGCCATCGCAGCTGGCTCCTCTCCACCCTCCCGGATGACTGAGCTTCTCACCCTATCTCTAAGGGAGATCCCAGCCATTCTGCAGAGAAAACTCGTTTCAGCCGCTCGTATCCGTGATCTCGTTCTTCGGTCACTGCCCAAATGTGACAAGGTGGAGAAACGAGGGTCACGGGGGGGATTCGATCCCCAGACTCCTGGGTGAGAGTCACGTGCACTTACCAGTCAGCCAGAGGGATGTCCCCTTGGCCAAGTAGCCAGGGCGCATGATCAGTTGGGACACTGACAGGACGCTCACACTGCCACACAAAGCTTGTGACCACAGGTGAGGGTAGGAATGTAGATGGACCAGTAAATCGAGAGCTTTGCCTTCTCTCTTCACCACGACAGACCGGTACAACGCCTGCATCACTGCAGATGCAGCACCAATCCACCTATCCATCTCACGCTCCAGCTTTCCCTCACTCGTGAACAAGACCCAAACATACTTAAACTTCCACTTGGAGCAGGACCTCATCCCTGACCCGGAGAAGGCATTCTACCCGTTTCCGAATCAAGACTGGAAACCTAATCACTTTAAACATGACTTGGTGTGTTCCATCAACAGGTTCAATAAAGTAATGAAAGACATTGATATTTCACTTAAGGGATCTTTATACATTCTTCGTATACAAAACCATCTTTAATAAATTCGGGAGGTGGATTTGTGGGCAAGAACTTTAACGATACATTTTTAATGACGTACTTTATCAGGTCACAGTTACACGTGTTTCCAATGATGTGGTCAGACCAACTGTGTAGGTTAAAGTTCAGAGTTCACCAGTGGCTCATCTGTCCAGAGAGGCAGATGAGGAAGAGTCCATGTGATTGGTGATGGCCTAGAAGGAAGGGGAGGAGGATTCTCCATTATGTCGTTCATGGGACATCAGGACAGAGGTCATCCCAGTCTGAGCAGATGGTCTGTGGGCAGCATCATCAGGGAGAAGAGCACAGGTAAGTTTTTCTCGCTGTATAGCATGTATCATACTAACTGTAAGTGATGTAACCGCCATCAATGTGTTTGGTCCCTTTTCTACAGTTGAAAGACGACCAAATGATGTTGGAAGGACTTGTCTTTTCTCCCAACAAGAGGCATCGTTGTTGACACCATCGTTCAAAATAATGAAATCCAGCAGAGAGATTAAAGATGGAGCCAACTTTGATGGAAGAAGAAAGTTTGTATCGAGCTTTTCTAGATAAAAACTACAAGGCACTTCACAAGAAAATAAAATAAATGAAAAAAAATTAAATATATATTGTTATATAATAAAAATGGGAGAAATGGGAAACAGTTCAGAAAAATGTGAATAAAAAAGAAAATGTCATCACAGGAACATGAAAAAGAACTGACAAACACCAGCATGAAGAGAAACTAGTGAAGATTCAGCAGAAGGTGACATTAAAACCAGCCTGGACAGGTGAGTTTTCAGCTGCTTTTTAAAGGAGACCACTGAGTCCACTGATCTCAGGGGGAGAGAGGTCCAGAGTCTGGGGGCCGCAGCAGCAAATGATCTGTCACCTTTGGTCTTTAGCCTGGTGCTGCACAACCAGTAGGCTTTGATCACTGGACCTCAGGGACCTGCTGGGGGTGTAGGGACTAAGAAGATCACCAATGTAAGATGGTGCTTGTCCATGTAAGGCCCTATAGACCAGAACCAGGATCTTGAAATGAACCCTGAAGTTGACTGGCAGCCAGTGAAGCTGGAGGAGAAGCAGGGAGATGGGGGTGTGTTTGGAGGACTTGGTCAGAAGCCGAGCACAGGCATTCTGAACCACCTGTAGACGGTTCAGGGAGGTTCTGCTCAGACACGTGAAAAGAGAGTTACAGTAGTCTAAGCGTGAGGAGATGAAGGTGTGGAGAAGTCTCAAGTTCAGAATGGGACTCAGCTTAGCAATGTTCCTGAGATGGAAGAAGAAGAGCGAAAAAGAGAACTGGCATGAGAATCCAGGGTGAGAACTGGGTCAAAGGTCATGCCAAGATTCCTGACAGAGAGTTTGGTGTGAGAAGCAAGCTGACCAAGAGAGTCTCTGACTTTGGGAACCAGCTTGTTTGGGGCACAGATGAGGATCTCAGTCTTATCTTCATTCAGCTGTAGAAAGCTCCCAGCCATCCAGGTTTTGATAGAGTCTAAGCAGGTGTGTAACAGCTGCAGCTTAGACATCTCATGGGGCTTAAAGGAGATGTACAGTTGGATGTCATCTGCGTAAAGATGGTAGGAGACTCCTTTGAAGGAGCTCAGGATGTGCTGAAAAAGAAGCAGACAGAGGATAATTGGAAGGAGGAAATCATAAAAGCAGCAGGAATGAAGGAATGCAAGAGACTGTTTACTGGTTTTGCTGGGAGCACTGGTGTTTATAAAGTCCAACATCTGCTGGGAGGATGGACCTAGGATGCAGCAGTTTGGCACTGAAGGAGCTTCCAGCTCCACACCAGCTTCATGCATGGGATGGAGGACACTGTCCAACAGTGATGTTATTTTCACTAGAGTCCTCTCTCCCACCCCCAGCTGGGTCAAGGGGACATGCTAGGACAGAACTTCTTAATCAGCTTCCCGTCTCTCAGTAGCCCCAAACCACACAAAGATGGTGGATGGGAGGGGGGCTCGGGCCCTTTAAGCGGACAGGATCCAGCCTGTGGTGGGCGGACGGTAGCAGCCAGCTGTGCTCCACCCGCTCCGCTCGGCCTCCAGCCGCAGCTGCTTCATGCTCCAGCTGTTATAGCCGCGCGTCCGTGGGGGGTGAGTCCGAGGCAGAGTGACTTGAGGGAGGACCGAGAACCGTCAAGTCTGCGGGTCATACGGACGATCGCATTACCGCTGCTGCAGATCTGCGCCTCTGAGGCGCATTTTTACGCAGCAGTCCAGCTGGACTGAGACAAATCCCGACCTCTTCCTCCCGCTGGGAGCTTTCCTTTCCTACCAGGAGTCTTTTCCATGGAATCCACGAACGGCTGACGCCAGCGCAGCTGTGCATAAAACCCGCTAGAGACGCAACTGGCAGGAAAAGGCGCAATAGGACAGCTGCAGCAAAATGTCTATCCCTGTAAGTATGTCAGACGCATGTTGGTGTTCCCAGTCGTTGCTCCGGTGTTCCATGTTAATGGTTGTAACAGCCTGGGCCCGGGCCGCCCGGTTCCATAGCACTACAGTAATTAAGATGTTATCATGTGAGCCCACACATATTACTGTAACACGGTGTGTGATATGTGCTGGTGGTGACATGTTACTCTTTGTCTTTGGCCTACATGAAGCTCCAGCGGGTTTAAAGGAGCAGCCCGCCCCTTCCGGGAGGCTGTTTGCATGAAGGCCAATGTCAGCCAGGGTCTGGTGGCTTCATTCCAGCAGACCTGGCCAGTCAGCTCAGCAGAGCAGCTGATAGCACTGTGTGTGTGTGTGCAGGTGTGCGTGCGTGTGTGTGTGTTTGTGTGTGTGTGCAGGTGTGCGTGTGTGTGGAATAAGGCATTTGCTCGAGCTTGTTGAGTTATTTTCCATCAAATTCCAAAGGATCTGTTTCACAAACACTGCCTAAGGATCTCTCTCTCCCTCTCTCTCTCTCTCTCTCTCTCTCTCTCCTCTCTAACTGAACTGATGCTTCATTTTGTTGGGGACGACAAAATCCTACTGGCACTTTAATATAAAGTTATTAGACGATCTTACCTTTTGCAACATTTTTAAGCTGTTCTGGGAGGCTTTGCGGTCCAAAAGAATGATTTTAAGACCATCAGTGAATGGTGGGAACAAGGGAAGGCACAAATTAGAGTTTTCTGTCAACATTACACGCGGGGGTCTACAAACCAAATAAGAAAGACTATGGCAGATCTAGAGAAGGACATCAGGGTGCTAGACTACTACTCAACAACAGCACACCTTAGACCAAAAAAAGACAGCAGCTTGGGCATTTCCTGCAAGAGAGGGCCAAAGGCGCCTTGATCTGGGCTCGTCTCACCACAATACAGGACATGGATGCTCTGACATCCTTCTTTTTTAACCTGGAAAAGACTTCAAACCAGAAAAAACAAATGGCTGGCCTGCGTCTGTCAGATGGACAGTTATCCACAGACCCAGTGGAGATGAGGAAGCATGCAGTAGAATTCTATACCAGCCTATTTAAGGCCGCCCCATGTGATGTGAACTGTGCCAGAGAGCTGTTGCAGGGGCTTCCTTCCTTGACCACAGTAGACCAGGGAATCTTAAATGCAGACATAACCATGGAGGAACTTACAACGGCAGTCTCCCAGATGGCTGCAGGTAAATCTGCGGGGATGAACAGCTTACCCGCTGACTTCTACAAATTCTTCTGGAGCAGTATTGGACAGGACCTGATGGATGTTTTTAGAGACTCACTTCAGACAGGAGCACTTCCTGCATCGTGTAGTTGGGGCGTTCTGTCCCTGCTGCCGAAAAAAGGGGACTTAACCCAACTAAAAACCTGGGGACCAGTTTCCTTGTTGTGTTCAGACTATAAGATTTTTTCTAAGTTCCTATCTAATAGACTTCGGGGATTCATCAGAGGTCTAATCCCAGACGATCAGTCCTTCTGTATACCAGGAAAGTCATTAATGGACAATTTATTTTTAATGAGAGATGTGTTTGATGTTTGTAAAATGTATGATGTAAACGCAGGTATCATTTCTATTGATCAGGAAAAGGCGTTTGATAGGGTTGATCATGAGATCCTGTTCTCTACGCTACAGGCCTTTGG